TACCAATGACCAGATGCTTTAGCTTCTCTCCACTTGAACTAACGCACAACAGAACCGTGAAACATTCTTTGGAATGTTTCCCTCTTGTGCATTCGTTACCGTTCATTGCAAAGCTTCCGCTGGGCATCGCATTACATCAGAGCCCGAAATCTTTAGCGCTAAAATTATCGTTTTGGAAAATTTTTCGATAAAAACTTGAAAAACTCTTCAGGCACTTCATTGGATTCACCACCCAGAACTCATTGCGAAATTTTATTTCGCTACCCAATCATTGGTAGCCTGGTAATCTGCAACCCCAAATTCTAGTAAGAATCTTTAGCAATTTCTTGAATCATCGGACCAAAAATGAGTGGGTTAAGTGAGCTCATTTGCTTGGAGCATCGCTGCGTCGCCCCATTGATTTCATAATGTGAAGTTGTACGCCACTTCTGCTGTAGATTTCGTTTTTCATTATCGTATTTCTCCAAGTACTCGTGTTTATGTCTTTGGATGTTGCTAACTGTTGTCTTGCTAGCACCTCTGCGATCTTTCTTCAGTTACTGCTTTGCAGTAAATGTAGCCCACTAATCTTTTTCTTTAAAGTCGTCTCTCAGATGTTAGTTTCTGGGTCGCAATGTTGAAATACTCGTAATAACCGATGCTAAATCGCTCAAAGCACGGAGTGGATGCAAGGTCTACGGTCCTACTGGCCTGACATTAATTACATACAGTAAGTAACCACAATTGGTTTCAATCTCAGGCAGACGCCAAACAAAGCCGGATAAACGCTCGACAATTAATTTGCTCGGATACGTCAATCACGCCGCAATCCAAGGTGCTACTGAATTGGTACCTAGATCATGTGGTAAGCCAAGGATTTGACAATCTCTGAAACTTCTGGTTGTGGCCTGTTTGATGAGTGGACACATGTTCTTGTGGGTAGACGAAGGCTTGCATGTGGACAGATGAAGGACATTGAACACATTGTTTTAGGTCATTCCGTGGACGCGGAACTGTGCGAACCCCAGCAATCTGGGTAAAATGCGTGCACCTAAACACTCACAACCCGGACAAACACGCACATACACATACACAAAGGTAAAGTACACGGATTTGGGGTTAGAAGTTCACACATTGTTGTCCCACTGCACACCGTGTTATCGGACCACACGATCCATTTGGGAACCATTGGATGGTAAGCCCCAATTGGTCAACTTATGGTGGTTGAATTATTACTGACTGTCATAGCCTAAGTGGTACACATACAACTCATATTGGTCAACATACAGAGGTCTGGTTCCATAGGGTTTACATAGTGATCGTTCAAGCTTTGCAAAATATATTCAACCTAGAAAGGTGGTCAACATATAGAGGTGATCAACTTTGGAGGTTTTACAATACATGGATCGGGGGCATCGGCATCCGAATTTGTCTGTCACGGTGGCCTCCATAAAACAGCCACAGGACGCTTGCGTCTGCAGAGGGATCACGGATGACAAGTCCATTTAGTTGTGTTCGGGGCGCAAGTTTCACTGGGTCCGTAGTTTTCATACCGAACGTATCGTTCGTCTATCGTAACGACAGGACTGGTACATAACCGGGCGTGCGTTACACGCGTCCAAGCTAACACAACTTATTCAATGCTATCTTTTGCTCCTGATTACGACTACCTAGTACAGGCACAGCACATTGTCGTTGCGGATTCGCTGGTGTCATTCGACACCAGCAATGCTGCTTAGACAGCAATGACCAAAGACCTGAAAGTGCCTCAGGTCCTCAGACAGCGGGGATCATGGCTCACTAACATAGTGTAAGACGGTCCTCACTACAACCGTGTATACATGGTTATTAAGACAGAGGGAAACCCCCTGTTGACGCAGCAATGTCGCAGGTCCAAGTAAGCTCTTCTAACTTTTGCAGTACGGGAACTTACTTCAGCGGCCATGAAGCCATCACCGCCAATGCAGCTGCCAGGTTAGATGAATCGATCAAAAACTTCTTTCATCGATATCTTATATATATATATATATATCATCAGTACATCGATAAACAGCACCCAAGCCGCGCTGCCGTGCATGCACCAACAGTATACTGTGTAGATCGCCGGAGCCCCTACGCAAGCTCAAAACCGCGCCTCGGATTACAAAGCAGACCCACGATGCCTTAGGTCAAGTGCCGGAATGTGACTAGTCGTAGGCAATTGAAAACCATCGCCAAAAATGTTCATGCATTTGATGAGTTTAATTGGACAGGCTAGACTAATTTCTCAACACTCGTGATGTGAGCACATGTGACAACGAATTGTGTGCAACACATTGACTAATTACTATGACCTATGTGTCTCAACTTAAAGCTGATTCTTCATGAACAGAATCATATGTAGATAACACTATGTAATACCGGGTTTGTTTCTAGGTTGAGTGTTATGTTTCAACAATTCCTGTTTAAAATGTAAGCATAAACACCAATATTAATCATAGACTTTGATTTTTCGTTGTTAGCCTACCAATGTTTGACAATTATAGAAACAAAGTAAGAAAATATTTACATCCACTATTATATTCCAGCTATCATAAAAGCAGTGTAGGTCCTAGCATAGATATACACAAAGACAGATAAACTAGATTTGCTGGATTTGTGGCTACGGTGTACGTAGGTTTCTCACGAGATGCCCCAAACTTAGATCCCCATCAGGTTTTCTTTATACTACTCTTAGTAACGAAATTCAAACTACAGTAAATATATCCTGATGAACGCGCCTCCTCAGCTCCTCTGAGCAAACTCTCATGTTCTCTTTACATCTATCTAAATGAGCATCAAGAATATTGACTTTGAGAGATAGCTGCATCTTACTTTTGCATAGTTCCTTAAGGTTCTTAACACACTGCTCATAGTTTTCAGTCCTGGGATTGCCCGAAGTGCCATGAACCACCGCAACGAAACTGTTCCAAGAGGCCTTCGCTGTCATATGCAGTTCCTCTCAAAATAGATTCTGATTTGTGGTTCAACGAAGATGCTAGCTTTGACCTTTGTACCTGCCACTTGTGGACACAAATGTTGTAGGTACTTGAAAGCCGCCGACTTCCTGTCTGCGGCCTCTACAAATTGTTTAGTGAGATCTAACTTGATTTGCAGTGGTGTTATCAAAACGTCCTGAGGGTCTACCAACGACTACCATTTGACATTGCTCTTCCTCACTGAGAATTCACTTCATTGTAGCCAATCCCTGCGGCGATAATGTGCCTTAGTGTCTCGGCTGCCCCACAAGTGAAGAAAGCATGGAAGCTTGGTAAAACCACTTTGCAGCTCCATAGGAAATAAGACTATTTTGAATTCTTTAACGACCTCCCAATAGCAGTCATCAAACTTCCATGCACTTAGCAGCATTTTAGCGCTGAGATAGTCCGCTTTAGAATGCACAAACAAACCATAGGAAGAGACGGGTACGTGTTGATTTTGTGAAGTAATGTAGCTTTAAGGCTTCTGGATGAACTGTCTACAGATGAACACAAGGCACTTGGGCTACAAGTGACTCCTATATCCTTGAATACACCAGCAACATTGTTACACATGCACAGCCCATGCCGTTTTGCTATGAAGTTGGAAAGACGTTGGTGACGCCTTTTCTGATTCGTGACTTGCACGCTTTTATCACACACGTTCCAATATTTGAGCATAGCTGCCAGAAGATCAGCGCCCGACTTCGTATGACTATGGCCTATAATAAGATTGTTGAGATTTTCCGATTGGGGAATTATGGCGTTCTCTTCTTAAATGTAGTTGGAAAATTGGAACTTGGGTGTGAAGTAACTTGCTTCCTGTCGGTCTTCGTGTTAGCTCCTGAAGATGGCTGTTTCTTCTTTGCTGGAGGAGGAACGGGGAGACCGGAGCAGTGTGGTACAGGGGCAATGAATGAGGAAATATCTGGACGAATGATAGCAGGAGCAAGCTTGTTAGTTTGGACGGGTTTAACATACAGTATTAACGACTGGTCTGTTGCTTCCTTCCAAACTTTTAGAACAGCAAAACTGATGGCTCTCTTTTCCTCTCTGTACCATCCTGTAATCACAGTGAATAAAGTGATAAAATTTGGTGCTTGCTAATAATATAAAAGGTCACATTGCCATTATATACCGTATTCTTATTTTCCTTTATAACTGTGAAAATTCGTTCAACTGAAACTTTTAAACTTAACTAACTAATACGTTGTACTAAATAAAACGCAGCCACCTGTAGGAGCAACAAATGTTAACCCTGTCTTCAAGAGCTCTTCTGCTATATTCGCATGTGAAACGAGGTGCCAATGATTTGTAACGATCACAGACTGGAATTCCACACAGTACTTCTTAGTCTTCGGCGTTATAGAATGTCCACGGATGTAACATAAAGAATCTGCTGGATGCAAATAAGCTCTAGACGCCATCTGTTATTAATATATTGATATTCACCACAAGCATACCATTCAACAACGTAGACAGGAATGCTACATTTATGCCAGTTCTCTTATACTATTTTGGTTGCTACAAGACTGTTCCCGTAGGAGCTTGAATGTTCTAAAAGATGTCATACAGTATTAGCGAATTCTGGACAATTATTAAAACCTCTGTAAAGGTCTTGCGTCTACCGAATGTTTCATTTAGCAGTGAATGTAAATGGAAAGGAGAAATATTCTAAAATCGTATGCATTTAACAATAACACAGTCCTGGTCAGAATAGCAAATTACTGTGGAACAGACGCCATTTTCTATTTATTAAGGTCAAACGGAAATAGGAAAACACAGTTCTCCTAGGAACAGAAAGAGGTCAAAATTTGCTGTCTAATATAGTGATCCAAATAACATACTTTGAAGAATCAGAACAGTTGTTGTTATAGCGGACCCGCTGCTCGGTCGATAGGAAATCCGTACTTTTGTAAAAAAAACCACGAAATCCGGTAACATTCAGCGGTATTCACTGTGTTTAATTCGTACTTACTCTATTACTATTTCCTATATTGTTCCCCTCTTCCCCGATTTTCTCAGGCTGTCTTCGATTGTGTGGTCAGTTCACTGAAAAATGTGTTCAACATTCTCATCGTCTACTGGTTGTTCCAATTCATATTCGCGGTGATAGCTGTCCAACTCTTCCAGGGCAAATTCTTCTACTGCAATGACGTCTCAAAGATGACTCGTGAGCAGTGTCAGTGAGTTGTTTGACAGGCTCTTCTAAAAAGCTGATAAAATAACTCGGGAGTAGACATCAGAACAAATGTTAGCGAACAAGCTCGTTTTCTGTGGTTCCTCCTCAGGCTAATACACCACAAATGAATGACATGAACTTAAACATCAGCTAAGAGTACAGGTTTAAAACCCAGATGGTCTGAGTGACCAAGCTAGGCGATTGGCACCAAGGCGATCAACAGTTTGTTTGTTTGTGTGTGTGTGTGTGTGTGTGTGTGGCGTTATCCACACCATGTGTCCGTGTTACAGGGGACCAGGGTAGAGTTAGTGCCTGGACAAATTTCTTGTGTGCACATAGGTCAGGGTCATGAAGCCTGATGGCTATCGCCTCGGCCGCTGCCAGTAGACGACATCTAACCGCTCTTGTGTGGCATCTGGGTACGCGGTAGATGGGCTGGAACACCTCATGCGCTCTGACTTGATGGCTCGAGTCGATCAGGTGTGTAGACACTGCGCTTGCCACTGATCTAGTCACGCCGCTATACAGCCAAGCTGGACAGTGTTCCCTGGCTCTCTCGGACAGTCTCCTGGTAGTTCTTCCGATATATCTTGATCGACACGAGCAAGAGAAAGAGTATACACAGAATGAAGTACTTGACCTTGGAATTCTGTCCTTAAGTTGTTGATTCAGGGTCGGCACTGAGTAGAAGCTTAGCCGTAGGCTTGTTGTATAGTACATTTGGGCGATTGCGGCAGAAAGCCATCTAGACATTGATTCAGCTATCCCTTCCCCCTTGAACTGTAACGATAATTAGATCGGAATTTTTCCTACTGAATCCACTTTTGCCTTCGCTTCTCGAAACTCCATGTTTCTCCGAACGAACCTCTCAGGATAGCCATTTCTATCGAATAGGCTTCGTACAAAGTTTAGCTCTTCCGAAAGCATGTCCTCGCTACATGTCCTGTTTGCTCACTCGGCTAGGCACCGACCAAGTTTCCGTTTCTGGCTCAGCGAGACGAAGCTGGCAAAATGAGTATATGGCCCATTTCACGTTGTCTTTCTACGGACACCACGCGGGACCGACCCGTCGGATCTTCGTCTAATCTGAACGTCTAAGTACGACATTGAGATGTTGCACTCAGACTTAAGAGTGAATGTATGTTTGCGTGGGCTGAGTTAAATTGCCTCACTAATTCATCCGTGCATAACTGACTATCTGAGATGCAGAATACATCGTCCACACACCGCCCGTAGTAGACTAATTTGTCGATAACTCCATTTTGATAATTGTTCTCTAACTTACTCATAAATACGTCTGGTAACAATGGTCCTAACGGAGAGCCCATTGCGACTCCGTCCTTCTGTCTGTAGATCCCCCGTCGAACAGGAATTGTACGTTGCTGGTACACATCAGAAGCAAATGTTTAAGTCGCTATTTCAAGAGGCCGACATGCACATGGTGCAATGGAACAGCGTCGCAAAGGTAGTGAAAAGCGACTATATATAGAGAAAACATTTTCCTTCCGGTTAACTGCATATGGCTTATGGAGTCTAAGAAGCTGAATGTATCTCTGAGACTGCGTTTGGCTAGGACTTTTCTGATCGGTTCTAGAAGCTTAGCGAGCCATTTTGCTGTTGAGTGATATGGAGAATCGGACGTGTCTAATATTGGTCTCAATGGAAGTCCTTCTTTATGCACTTTCGGTAAGCCATAAAGACGTGGAATCACTGTTCCAGAGTGACGCGTGTACTCGAAAACCACTTAGTCAATGGCATTCCCTTGCTTCAGGCAGCGTGGTAGCTTTGTGACTGTCTTTTCTATCGAGACCGTTTTGTCATTCTCTTACACTATCATCCGGAATTTTGAATGTTCGTTGAGGATGGCATTCGTCTTAGCGATATACTCAGATTTATCCATAAGTACAATCTATGCTCCTTTATCCGGCCTAGAGAGCAGCACTTTGAGGGCGTCTAAGGGCGCGTTCGTCAGTACATGCCTGACTTTAGGTTGGTGCGTCAGGTACTGGTAGCATGTATTGACCATAGTGGATTTAAAATGCTCACCAGCTAATGCTGACGACAGTGTAAGCATAGCTACTTGGGAGTGTGCATTTTCAAACTTTACTTCTAGTTCTAGGTGACGAGGACAACAGAATTTCGGACCTAGCGAAATCAACAATATGTGATACCTCGTTATGAGAAAATTTACACTAGTGCCCACTTTGTTCTGGCTGTTAGTATAATATCTTCCATCAGGACAAAGTAAGCAGTAATGGTGCACTTTGCAATCAGAATGGTGAGATTTCCACTTGTTTAGGTGCGCGCTTGCGTCCAGTAGCCCGGCAATAGAGCTCGGTTGCAATGACAGACGCAGTAAGGTGAAACACCTGTTCCTGCAGTGATCGAATGATGGTACACTATGGTAGTAGTGTCTAATAAACGAGGTATTACTTTTTCTTCAAAAATGTTCAGCTTGGTAGACCTATTCTCATGATCGCAGGCTGAACAACTTCCTTGATAATTTATTATGTAATTAACTACTCAGCAAAAGTGAGTAGCTTCATAGTATAAACTAATTATGACAACCAATGTCAGGAAGTCTAAATTCCGGTCCTGTTTCTAGCCGCCGAAATTGTGATGAGAATATTTTAATGGGTTTTGCGATCGTGCTCACTTTCAGCCAATTTTGATTTACTTCTTTTGGAGCTGGGTTTGCATATCGAGAATAAAGCCAATACACATATTTGGTGCGCAGATTTTATCAGTACCTTGATTCTTGAAAGCGAGCACATTCTCTCCAGGTGCACAACGAACAAACGCGACATGAAGTTACCGGAAAGATTCTATGGGAAATGCATCAGTTAGGTCCATATGTGTGACCGATTTCTAGATTGTTTATGAATAGGTATACTGGAGCAGGTTTCTAAAAAGGTCGCAAACGCTACGGCGCAACTTGTTAACGGCGCCAGTTTTAATACTGTGAATACTGTCTATCATGTGCTGCTGTCGATCCATGCATATAAGTTAATTCTCCTTGCTGTTAGATAGAGTCCTCAAGAAACGTATGAATGTTGTGATATTTGAGACCGCAGCTCCACTCGATGTCTGAGCACGACTAACAAACCTGCTGAGATTCATCTCGAGCTGAACGTTGATGTTCGCAAATTCATAGCACTGATCATTCTGGACATTTCATTAAATCACAAAAGCAGGACTTTGGATGAATTTTGTTGGACAATTGGAAAACTGAGTAAGCAACCTAACTAATGCTTACGAAAGCTGGTTTATCTGGTTATCTGTAGCCTTTAAAGTAGGATGCGATGATCCAGGCGGTCGAAAGCTTTGGCTAAGTCCAGATAGATAACGTCAACTCCGACCCCATCATCAGCCACTTCTGTCCAACTAACTCGTGCAATCAGTAGGTTGGTGGTACACGACAGGTATTGACGGAAGCCATGCTACTCCGTTACCAAGAGGTTTCATTTTTCCAGGTAGTCCATTAAAGCCTCAGAGACGACTGTTTTCATCAGCTTCGCGAGCACAGAGAGAAGAGTTACTTGACCCTAACTTTAAGGCTCTGAACGGCTACCGCCTTTAAAAATTGGGATGATAATGCCACGCTTCCACGTAGGAATAAAGTCTTGAGTTCGAATCTTGCAGCAGCCAGCGGCTGCATGCTGCTGGCGAGTCTCTGGAGGAGGTAACATTTACCTAGCACTCTTTATGATGTTGCTATGTGCTTTATCCACCGAGCACAATTCAATTTAAGCTATCCGATCGATCATTTCAGCATCACAAGCTGCAAATTACGTTTCACCTGTGAGTCCATTGGGTTCATTGAGTTGTAGAGGGCAGGAGGGAAATACCTTGTCAGCCGCATCGATTCCGTATTATACTTGGTTTGATGCGTGTCACTGCGTTACGACTTTCCTCGTGGGTTCTTTGCAATAGCAGTGACAGCCGCAAGATTCCAGTACTCTCAACGAACTTTTGTCTTCGAACAGCAGAAAAAGCTGAATTATGCTGAATTATAAGCAGAGGGTAAAGGTTCACTACGTTTCCGAGGCTGCTATAGAAAAACAACTAGAGAGCTGTTGACGTCTGCATAAAATTCCATTCATAGAAGTGCAATAATAATTCCAGTTATATGCGACACATTTCATGTTTATATTCTCTGGAAACCTGTTCTCCTTTTGTGATAGAGGTCAATTTTTCGAGTATAATGGCCGTGGGGAAATCACAGTACAGAACCGTACGTGGAAGACTAGAGATTTCAATTACGACAACGTGATCAACGCAATGCTCACATTGTTCACTGTGACCACTGGGGAAGGCTGGCCTTCGTGAGTTCCGAATGTTTTGTGTAACCATGAGGATCTCATTTTCCTTCTGTCTGAGTGTGTCATCTGATGTGAAACCACCACATTTGTTTGAAGTTACTGCAGTTACTGCACGCCTCTTTAAAAGTGGTGTATTGTTCTTCCAAACCATCACGTTATTTCCTTCGCTGGATTACACGACATGAGTTGTCCATACCTGTGATAACTGTTACCGTATTCATACACTCAGTGCTCACGGATTCATCCCCTGTTATGTATGCTACTTTGGACCACTGGGTCAAAAACATACTATGTGACCCACTGAGGTAACTAAGCTGCAGATCGATAATCCCTCCACCGTGTCCGTTGAGATCAGAGAAATCTGCGTTAATGAAGAGGAATTCAATCTTTCTCCCACAGTTTATCTCAGCTTGACCCACCAAATCGAACAGCAGCTGTTGGCTTATCAAGGTTTAATAAAATTGCTGTTCCCAGGATATTAAGCTCCCAGATCCGTCTCACACTAACCAGCGATTGTCCCGATAGCTTCTATTGTTGGCGGTTGTTCCATTGTCAATCACTGACAACAATGTATGTACGAAGGACATTGAGGCGTCATTTCGAGGTATAGGGTTTTAGTAAATTTCTACCGTATGATTGAAACTACTGTAAAAAATAAAATTAAAAGTAATTTGTGATCTCGTTTTATACGGCTTGTATAAATTATGGATCCACAAAGTTTGGCACGGTGTTTAAAATTACATTTATATATAAGTAACAATTATAACAGCGCGGATCGAAAGTAGTGTTTGACCTAGCTAAACTGCAGTATTACGCAGTGGCCGTGCAACGTCTTATGGCTCTTGCAGGAATTTGTTCTGCAAAAGTACGCGACTACAAAGGACAAGAACTTTTAGCTATTTACCAGGCGCAGTGCGGTCACACGATTCATCCAGGGTATATGGCGTGTAGGGATGTTATCAGTGACCTAAAAAGGAACAATGATTTCCCACCAATTAGAAGCGAGCCAAATATATTATAATGCTTTGGATAGGGCAGAGTTAAATTTGGTACTTGACTTATAATGCGAACGAACTGGCTTACAGAACTGTGATAGGGCTGAAAAAAGAATTTAACTCCGCCTACCATCATGTGTTTACTTGATAAATATAAGCTTTTCCGAGGTTGAGTGCGAAAATTTTCAGCAAAAATTTTGTCCATTGGTAATGTGCAAAATTGCTTCACTTTCTAATTCTCAATAATTATTTCATCCGTTATGGTACTGATTTAGGATATTTGTTTACAAAATTTAATTTTTCACTTAGCAGCTTGTTAATTGCGGAAACCTAAGTTGACCGAGTAGGGTTCACTTTATTATTGGTATCAATTGGTTTGGAGAATAGCTCTACAATTGTTAGTGGTCAGTTACTCGTTTCTGAGTTTAGCAATACCTAGCATACCCAAAACTTGGTCAGTTCAGTAAATAAATCATACACGTAATTCACTCCTTTATCCTATGACTCTCCATCTTCACATATTGTAGGGTGTTGAAAAATTCCATCGATTCAACCTACGCGGACCACGGACCTCGAACGGATTTCCGGCAAGAAATGGCTATTTTCTATGTTATATTCTTCATCGTCTTTCCGTTCTTCTTCGTCAACATCTTCGTTGCCTTGATTATTATCACGTTTCAAAAGCAAGGGGAGAACGAACTTATCGAGCTGGAACTCGATAAAAATCAGGTACTTGTTTCGCTGAACGTCGGAACTCGAATGGGGCATCTGCCTACGCTTAATTTGAACTACCGGGATGAATCCCTTACAAAAATTACAGCTACAATCCTGCTACTTACTAGCACCAAAAAATAAATAGCCTCCAATAGTTCAAATGTTATGGATAAACCATCTAGTGCGAAGACGTTATCACCTCGCAGGCTAGCCACGGTCAATGACAGTGGAAGATGGTTGGTGCTATTTCCCAGTTGATTTGAAAATTATGTAGCCCAGCCGACGTCCCCATGCCTCAGTGGCTTAAGCTGCTGGCTAGTTGGCATCTGCCTCTAGCGGTCATGGGATCGATCCCCGTTAGGTGACCGAGGAAATGCACAGCACTGAGGTGCCCCAATACGGCGAAAAGCGTCTGGTGCTTTTCCGGACTAGACTGTGCTAGGTAGCACATGAACTATCGGGATGAATACCTTACAAGTTTGAACTTCATAAGGTTCCGTCTGATTATGGTCTCAGTTAAGATGCGTTTTGGCCTTGGATTTGAAAGACTTTTGACCAATATGAAACTGCATTTAGCAACACATTCCAAGGTCTTGCTTGAGGTCGTATTCTATTTAACTCAGGTTTTAGGCAGCTACCTTCCCTGCGACCAATTATGAAACGGCAGCTAAACAGGTTTTTCTTAAACACTTTCTTCTTCTTACCGAGCGGTACTATGCTACTGACAAAATCATAAACTACTTTTCTTCACCACAGCCGCCTTTTCTGTAAAAGGAAACTGAAAATATATCTAATTTGGCAAATCAAACTCACTGTGATCAAACTTAATAAACTACTATAAACTCTGTATGGAAAATTGGGTAGCAAGCCTCACCAAATCTTTCTAAATGTGAGGGAAAATTGCGAAGTGGATTACAGTGCGGTTAATGGTGCACGTTTTTATTTCCAAGCATTTATTTTCCAGCTTAGACGGTTTATTAGAGTGATGGAATATGCCCTACTGGTTAGCTGCAAGCTGATGAACCGAATTACTGGGAGCTCCGCGGATGTTTTTGGTGTTATACCTAACTAGCTGCATTACCTAGGGACTATATAATTACCTGGATGTTATCTCACTAATACCACCTTGGGTCGCTTTCACATACACTTGCGTTTGTTGGTGGAGTTGTTGTCTTGCGCAACATAAGAAGAAAACCACTTGCATAACCATACTAGTAAATGTGAATGAGTTGTAGTTTTTCTGAAGATTGGATCGGTATATTCAAACTGACTGCAGAAACACCTGTTTTGTTATGCCTTGCTTGCTGTTTGTGGATCAGATCTGATTGGTGACAAGTAGGCATCCTAATAGCCAGCACCAAGTAAGCATTCTATCCTACTGTTCCTACAGTCGATATCTTGCTCTGCAAGGCGAGTTGCCATCAAGAAAATATGCCAGGTGGTTCTAAAGGAAGGGGTGATTGCTTGCTATTAAGAATCACTACGA